CCTGTAGGCAGTGCTGTCAGACAGTTCCCGCCCACTGCAGTGGAGAGCAGTTAACAGTGTTGAAACTGAGCTTCCTTCAGGATCCAGCAAGAGGAGAAAGGTATAAGGAGAGCCACAGACGTGCCGGGTGAGCCAGGCTAAAGGGCACGTGCCCATGTAAGCATCATGGAAGTCGTGTGTGTGGAAATTTTGTTGAATAATTTATTGCTACTGTTTGTCATATGTGTGTGTGTGTGTGTGTTGGTATATGTGTGTGTGTGTGTGTGTGTGTGTGTGTGTGTGTGTGTGTGTTGGTATATATGTGTGTGTGTGTGTTGGAAGTAAGGATTCATGATCATCCCAAAGGAATGCGACTCCATTCTGCCGGTCCCCGCCATGGCGCTGCCTCCTCACCGCGCCTGCCTTCTCTTTCCCCTACCAACAGCCATCCTGAGTCACTGTCCCTCCTTCCTCCCCCTGCTGCCCCGGACAGCCTCACTTTCACACTCCAAACTTGGCCTTCTCTCAGCGAAGCTCTCTACACAAAGGCTGGTGTGGATTGCTGTTCACACCTAGAACTTTCTAGAAGAAGGGCACACGTCTTCTCATCTTTGTCTTCCCGTCAGTCCATGACTAATACAGGTGCATTCCAGACAGGGAGAGTGATACTTGAACGGAGCAGTCTTAAGCGTTAACCTTGTTAATTCACTGGGTGAGCATCACTCAAATTCATATTGATGAATTTAAAATGCATTCGATAAGCATTGTGTGCCTAACCCTGTGAAGAGTCCCAAGGCCTTTGCTGAGTCCTCCGTCCATATTTGCTGAACGGCCCAAGGAAGGAATGGACTCTGTTTCTCTTTGAAAACATGGAGCACTCGTGTACATGTAGAAAAGTGTGTGCGGTTTTGAATATTTCAGAATCATGTAGGAAATCTGGAGGTTCGGCTCCGGCAAAGGCAAGCAGGACCACCGGCCAGCTGTGCTGGAGGTCATCTGAAACAGTGAGAAAGGGTGGGAGAAGCAGCCGCTGGCCCCTCGGGTGACTCGTGTGCCAGGCACAGCAGGCAGAGGGGAGGAAGGAGGCCTCAGAATGGGCAGGAGATTATTAAAGGTCTGCACGCCTCTGCCGCCCTGTGGATGCCAAATCTTCCTGGACCACGGCTGTCACCGCATCCCTGCCTGGCTGCAAAGCTGCTGCTTTGAGGAGGATGAGTGGTGGCTACATGTGGCAGCACAGCAGACTACGGAGAAGTTGACCAGGTGGAGCTGCTCCTGCTGGAGAGACTCCATGCCTCTGGGGCACATGCGCATTAGTGAGAAGTAAGGACGAGAGCATCCCGAGGAAAGGCTCCGAGCACGTGACCTGTGCTCCTACTCCTCTGACGTTGGTAGGCACCAACAGGAGCAGAGCTAGAACAATCCAGATGTGGCAGCCAACCCCAAGAGGAGAAGGCACCTGAGGCATTTTATAGGAATTTGGGGCTGGGGCAGACAGAGGTGTCCCTAAACAAATCTATCAAATGTGTACCTGAAGCCTTTAATAATGACATTTTCCTCCCTGAAAACTGTTTCCCACTTGGCCCTCTTCATTTTTCCTGAGGTGACAAAGGTCACGTCTGTGACGTGACAAAGCATAGCTGCACACTGCCTGGTCGCCTTGAAGCACAAGTACCTTACTAGTAAACCCCCGATACTTCCCTAGATGTTTTATGGGACTGGTCTTGTCACTTAGTAAGACATGCCATTGTCTGTGATCTACATAAATACAGGCTTTCCCTTTCAAATGAAAAGTGAGTTGGTTTGTTTCTATTTCTAAGCACTAATTAGTGTCTCTGGGAAGAGGAGAAGAGCCTTTCTGGTTGCTGAAGCTCTTGGTACCTACACATAATGTGACTCCCGCCCGCCTGCCTCTCCAGGATGGGTAATTAGAGAGGGAGAAGACTCCTTTCTGCACTGGCGCTTTGGAAGGGCAGAGGCGTGTGCATACCTGGCTGTGAATGCGTTTCGCCCCGTCACTACACTCGAGACGCTTGTTTTGGAATAATTAGAACCCTAGATACCGATGATGCCTGTGATGGGCTGATATCTCCCAGTGGCCAGTGTCTAGAAGACATGAAAACCAAAGTCTGGACTGCAGAAAGAGTGAATGTGGTTAGGAAAGGACCCTCTGCTCCAGCTGCTGCTCTCCGGCTTATGACCTTACACAAGCTGCTTGCCTTCTAAGAGCCTTGGCTTTCCTATCTGTAAAACAGAGGCATTGTGCTAAAAACATCATTATTTAAACAAAGTATGGCCTATGAGAGCATCATCCAAGTGTGCCATTGGCGGCGCTATAAGATTCTGTAAATGTGATTCCCAAACGGAAGGGAACATGTGTGTTAGCTGCCCTTCTATCACACAAGCACCACAGAAGGGCGCCTTCTAGCTCAGAGCCTGAGACGTTTCAGTCAGTAGTCCTTGGAGCTGAGCTGTTGAACTGAGCCCCTGTGAGGCACAGCACTATGTGTGGTGTGTGTGTGTGTGTGTGTGTGTGTGTGTGTGTGTGTGTCAAAGACTGCTTGCTTCATGATGGACAGAAAGCAGAGAGGGAGTATGGAAGGGGCCCCTAGGGGCCTACCTCTTCTAGAAGGCCCTTCTGTATTTTATCTCTCAGTAATGCCATCATGAGATGAATCCATCAAAGGTCTAGGCCACTGCTCCCAGGGGGACAAGTTCAGAGTCTTTGGGTTTATACCAGATTAATTTGCTTTAAGGTTGAAACATAGGTTTTTGTTTTGTTTTGTTTTGTTCATGGAGACGTGATGGCACACATTTAAAGGGGGCATGGGATTTAAAGCTCCGTAACCAGTTATCCATGACTGTGACCTTAATATCTTAATCTCATACCTGAAACTCCCAAGACTGACTACAGACGTCTTAGCACATTGTAGTAAGGTCACAATGTAAGCCTGCCTCCTATAAGACAGTCCTGAGTCTCTCTTATCAGATATGTGATGTTGGAGATTTCCATGGAAACCTAAGAGTGTTGTGAGAAACCCTCTAGCTGCCTGCTGTGGTGAAACTGAGTGAGAAGGTAATGCATTCAGCCCCCCCCCTTTCAGTGTGGAATCAGTATTCTCTGAAGTGTGAAGTCTCACAGATAAGATGTGTGTCCAGGGCTCAGGGTGCTTAGAGCTCCCATGGGAACCCTTCAGGGCTGCTGATGTTTGCTTACACACTCCTGTTGTTGTTACTTGTAATGTAGCTTAGGTTAGGTCAGGGGCAGAAGAGAAACACACACACACACACACTCAGAGAGAGAGAGAGAGAGAGAGAGAGAGAGAGAGAGACCTTGTTTCAAATCAAAAGCAAAGCATCTCACAGTTGTGAGAAATGAAAACAAAAGCAGCCAAAATTTTTTTGAGAAAGCAAATCACCCTATCCACCCTTGAGTTCACAATGCCCTAATTCTTGTGGTGTCGAGTGTATCCATTAAATACTCAATAGGCAGATATCTGTTTCTAAAAGGGAAGGGTCTTTCTCTAATTTCGTGGTAGGCAGCTTTAAATGGCGGCATGCGTGAGCGCATGTGCTCACCGTGTCCTGCAATGGCTCAGTAGCAGGAGGATGGCCAGTCTTTAGAGTCACTTCTCCCATGACTGCCTGAGAATGCAGTGAAAAAACAAGATCGGCAAGCAATGTGGGGTCAGATTTCAAAATGAGAAAATGCAAGCATGCACACCCCCACCCCAATCCTCACAGTCCTTCATCAACAAAGCTTTTAGAACCTGGACAAGCCTAACTGGCTGCTTCAATGGTGGTCTCGTTGACACCACATCCCTCTGCTGAAGACAGACTTAGGACCCCGAGCCCCCACAGAAAGTAGTGCAGTTATGTCCAATAGTCTTTGTTGCCCAAGCCGGGAGAGTGGACCTAGATGAGCTGCAAGGGTATTTCCTGGTAATCCTCAGCTGACGGCTGTGCCAACAATATTGGGTTCAGATCCCATCTACTACGGAAGCTGTACAAGTGGAGGACAGCTTATTTCCTGTGTCCTTCATGCTCAATAGGCTGTATTCCCGATTTCCATTTTTGCAAGCTTCTGCACATCTGTTGTAGAGCCTCCAGAGTGTGATTATGTGATGCGAGTACTCCAGGTTGAAAAGGGCTTCTCACTTTTTTCCAGAGTTACAAACTCTCTTGGGTCTAGGGGTGCAGCTCAGTTTGTTGAGTTGCCTAGCATACAAGATGCCCTTGGTTCGGTCCCCAGTACCATGTCCCCAGGTGTGGTGGAACCTTCCTGGGAGTGTAGCCCTGGAGAGGTAGAGGCTGGAGCTCTGGATGGCTCCCTGGCCTGGAGCAAAGTTTCTGCTATCTTTATTATTTTGTTGTTGTTTGATTGGGAGTGGGGTTGGTGGTGGTGGTGGTGGTGGTGTGTGTGTATGTGTGTGCGTGTGTGTGTGTGTGTGTGTTGTACTTATTTGTGTTTTGGCTTAGTTGATTTAATAGGTGCATTCCAAAGTAACAGGGAAGACTATTGTCAAAGGAAAGGCTCAATGACTTGAACATATCTCATTTTTTTTCCTGAGTGCATTTTCATGTTTTTTGCAGCAAATATGTGTGGCTGTTATCATCACTTACTAACATTAACGCAATACCGGAGACTTCCATGGTCTCTTAAGTTCTGGTTGAGGGGGAAATGACCCAGTGGGAAGGACGGACCCTGATGAGAGCTAAGGCAGTAAGGAGTGTTAGTGCTCCATTGTACCTCGCCAAGACGGTTTCATGTGTATCCACTCAGAAATATGCATAGATGCTTTGTGTCACTTGAAACTTAGATTCGAGATGTTTTCCCGAGATTCATCTGCACACAAGCTTTCCTTTACAAGCCTTTGTCCCAAGCAGACACTGTGCTAACCGGATAAACAAGGGTCATGGAATTGAGGCCAAGCCACAGTACTTTTCCTAGAGCCGGGGTTGATGTGAGGTCCGGTACAAAGTCTCAGAACCTGACTTGCTTTACTGCCCTTTCCTTCCAGATGCTGCACAACAAACATGTGATGGTCCGCGTGGGAGGAGGCTGGGAGACCTTCGCAGGCTATCTGCTCAAGCATGACCCCTGCCGCATGCTGCAGATCTCCCGTGTGGATGGCAAGACATCCCCTGTGCAGAGCAAATCCCCAACCCTGAAGGACATGAATCCAGATAATTACCTGGTGGTCTCTGCCAGCTACAAGGCTAAGAAGGAGATTAAATGAAACTGGTCTCTGCAAGGGGACTCACACCATGGCCCGTGTCCATTCTACAGTGTAGTCAGTGTGGTTCACATGCTCTGAGAACCACCCACATTATCAAGCAGGAAAAAGCTCAAAAGGTAGCACTATTTATTTTTAATGCATCTGTAGAATTTCGCCTAAGGGGGAGAAAACCCTAAACTCAGAACAAAATCAGACAAATTGTAAGCAAATCACTATCACTCAATATGTGAACAGAGTATTTAAAAGAAGCATTATTAGGAACTCAGTGCTAGGTACAGCCATTGGAGGTGAACATGCGTAGGAGACTATATTTAGCGTGTATGGATCAGTCAACAGAAAGTGCCTGCTTTATGTCTGTGAGCTAAAGCACCCCAGACACATTTGTAATGGCGGGATTTTATAGCTATTTTTTACAAAATGACAATGTGATGATGTGCTACTAAAATTGTTCACAGTACTATACAATATAGAGTCTTCAGAGCCATAAGACTTAACTGGAAAGGCCACATCAGAGATGTTTACCTTCACTTGGAAGATTGCCTTAAAGTTCATCTCTGATCCCTGACCAAACCAACCTCTGGGGTACTTTTGGATGTTGCCTGTGCAGCCCCTTAGGAATAGCAGGTACCTTTCACATGCCCGGTCGCGCGCGCGCACGCGCACACACACACACACACACACACACACACACACACACACAACGTAGCAGCTATGTTTAGGAAGATCACTTAGTGAAATTCACATGCATAAGCTGGCATACATTCACATTGTGATGTGCATATTGCATAGGCAAATGTTCATCAATTTTGTGATTTTGTTTATTTCAAGCATTTTCTTATTAAAATGTATCTTAGTTAGTCCTATTGTGCTATGATGTCTCATGAAGTAAATTCACTGTAGTGAATGATGTTACAGACAGGGCTGTTTTGAACCAACGAACAGCAAGGTATTATCCACACTGATTTAAGAATTAAAATTGAAAAATTAAAAACGTTACATTATCTGTCTCTGTATCAGTGCTTCAATCTAAAATAAAGTTAATCTTCAAACTACTAATCTCCTAGTAAATATGAGGAGTGTCAAGTTATGGCTGTGTAGAATGTCTTCTCATGGGATGGGGATTGGAGGTGGTGTTTGTTCTCATTAGCCAAGAGTGTGGACTTGACCTTGACCTTGGGAAGGACCTTGAGTGTCTGTGTAGTTTGACTGTCATTGGCCCCCAGAAACCCAAAGGGAGTGGAACTGTTAGGAGCTGTGGCCTTGTTGGATTGGCGTGGTCTTATTTGAGAAAGTGTCACTGTAGAGACAGGAGTCATATATGCTCAAGATACCACCCAGTGTCTCAGACCACTTCCGGTTGCCTACAAGCTGTATCACTCCACTACCAATGCAGCACTATGTCTGCCTGTATGCTACCATGTCTCATCATGATGACAAAGGACTGAACTTCTCAACTGTATGTAAGCCAGTCATCCCAATTAAATGTTCTCCTTTATAAGAACAGGGACGGGAAAGAGTTGTCCTCTCCCCTCCTCAACCCCTGCCCATCAGTGTCTGAGGCAGGAGGGAGAGATGTCTCTGACCCCCACCTGCCACAATAAGCAAGCGGGAGACAGGCAGGCCTTGCACCTTGCCAGGGCAGTACAATAGAGCCAATCCTGTTAGTACAGGAATGGGTGAGTCAGCCCCAAAGTAGTAGTGAGCAAGGGAGAGCTGCCCCTTTGAAGCATCTGCCCAGGGTCTTGCTCCCCCTTCCCGCCCATCAATATCTGAGGCAGGCCCTGAGGCCACAAGTGTGGGAGAGCTGTCCCTACCCTGGCGAGTTGCAACACCTGGGTTGCAACCCTGTACCTCACCTGGGTAACAAAATAGAGGCAGCCTTGCTAGTGGAGGTATTGAGTGAGCCAGCCTTGAAGTTTTAAGTGTGGGAGAGCTGTCCCCAATACTCGTTTGTCATGTGGTGGTGTGGGAGGGTGAGAGATGCCCACCCCCTTACCCTTTATTCATCTGACACGTGCTAGCATGGGCCATGGAGAGAGTCCTGCCCCCACCTCCTGCTGACCAACACCTGAGGCAGATGGGGAGTTGGCCCTGCAGGCATAGGAACTGGAGGGCTGCCCCTACCCCTTAAAAGCTGAGAAACTTGGGACAGTGACCTCTGTACCTTGCAGAGGCGATGCCACAGAGCTGGCCCTAATGGTGTAGGAGAGCCAACCCTGAGGGTGTGAAAGCAGAACTGGCCCCACCCCTCGCTCATTGCTGCAAGAGGAGAATTGGCTGGGGCAGTGCTGGAGAGCTCCCCCTGGTGAGGGGTGAGGGTTTGGCAGAGTTGGCAGGCTGACCATCCCTGCAACTACCCAGGCCAGGAACCAGGGTCAGAAATTGGTCTGCCCCAGCATCCACCCCATCTATGATCTGCTGGAGCACGTGAAGGGACCTGACCTGCAGACCCGAAGCTGAAGGATCGCCCTGAACAACAGGGAGTCTTAGTGAGGGCCCAGCGTCAATAGTGTAGTAGGAACCAGAGGCCGTGAGCCAGACCCGCGATGACCCTGCAATGAACACTTGCAAGTACAGATATATGGACCAGGGGTTACTGCATAGCTCACCATGTCACACTGCAGTTCCACGAAGAGATTTGTTTCTTCTTCTTCTTCTTCTCCTCCTCCTCCTTCTTCATCATCATCATCATTTTCAACACAGGGTTTCTCTGTATTGCTTTGGAGCCTGTCCTGGACCTAGCTCTGTAGACCAGGCTGGCCTCCATGAAGAGAATTTTCATTTTTCCCTTATACTGTGTTTTACTTTTGCCAGGGAAGATGGATGGGAAGGGATGGGGAAATGAATGGGATCGAGATCCATGATGCAAAAGACACAGAATAAAAAGAAAAGAAAAACAAGAAGAGTTGCCATGGTCACGGTTCCTTCACAGCAGTGGCAACCCTAAGACGGTGTCACCATGGAATATTTTATTTATTATTTCATTTGGGGGTGGTGAGGCAGGGTTTCTCTGTGTAATAGCTCTTGCTGTCCTGGAACTCACTTTGTAGACCAGGCTGGCTTTGAACTCACAGAGCTCTGCCTGTCTCTGCCTCCTGAGTCCTGGGGTTAAAGGCGTGTGCCACCACTGCCTGGCTGAATTCTTTTCAAACAGTGGAGTTAACTCATCATTTCACTATTTTCCCCATAAGAAAAATTCATCTTCCTTGCTCCAAAGTCTCTCAGAGGAAGCATCTGTCTGTCGTGTGACCAATTCAGTCAAACATCCAGCCTGTTTATGGGGAAATTTTAGCAGGCATGGTGTAGGTTAGCGGTGCTGCAAAGGTGTCATGCATGCATCTAGAAAAAGCATGTTAGTGCAAAACAAAAAACAAAGCCTACAGGTTTTGTGCAAGGTAAAATGACCTTGGCATAATGAGTAACTAGTGTCTTTCCAAACATGTCAGTAACTTAATCTTCACGTCATCAATTAAAATCAGTATTAAAGTTCTTCACTGTTATTGACAATCTTTCTTTCAAAATCTTCTCCTATGTTTAAAATTTTTTTCTTTGAATAATGAAAATTCACTTAGAAATAGGTGTGTCTTAACAAAAAATAGTGTGAATCTCATTATAACATGAGGTATCATTTGGTTAATTCTACTGCCAGAAGTTCAACATGATCGTGCTGAGCTAAGGCCCAGGTGTCCTCAAAGCTGTATTTCTTTCTGCATACTTCAGGATGTAACCTATTTCTTGCCTTTTCTACCTTCCAGATGCAACCTGCGATCCTTGGCTCATGGCCAGAAACATGGCATGGCATTACTCAGACCTCTTTAAGTTTCTTCTCTTGGCTAGTGGTTGGGAAGCCTTCAGTTCATAAGACTGTGATTAGATCAGTCTACCCAGGTTTCAAACAGCTTGGTAAGTCAAAACAACACTGAGCACATGACCACACTTGGGGGACCTGGTGGATTATTACATACACAGAACATCCACATGACCTTCAAGTGTGTCTAAGAACATGTTCAAACCTGACACTGGCTAGCCGCTAGCTCATCTATACCAAGGGTGAAATGGGAAACAGGACTGCATCCCAAAGGACGGGACCAAATATCGATGGCTCTTACTGAGACCCTGAAGACTCAAGATGTCTGGCATCAGTTTCTCAGTGAGGGTAACATCCAAGGAAAGATGATAGGAAAGAGATAAAGGCTTTAAAATCTGAGTACTCCTGTAACCCTACAGAGTGAAGCATCCAAGCAAGCCAGTGGAGACAAGGCCATGTCCAGGTAGCCATGCAGCCTGCAGCCTTTAAGAGACCAGCACCAGTGTGGGAGGGTGGAAGACTTGGCTGGACCCTGCAGGTCATGAGGGAAATGCACAGAGTAACTGGTGACTAAGAAGTAATGAATTTGGGTGTTCATCCTTACCATTGATGAACTTGCTGGTGGAATTCTTTGCTGTCTTAGTTAGCTATTGCTTTGAGGTTAGCCAAAAGAATGGGTGCAGGGTAGATGAGCAGAAATTTCTACCCGTCAGTCAGTGTAATTCAAAGGAAGGGACATGAGACAGATTTCCCAAGTTGTGATGCTTCCTGCGTAAGGTGCCGGACGACACATCACTGAGAAGAAAGTGTCTTGCTCTTCCCTTGAAATTCATACAGAGTCAAAGGCTGCACCAATAAAGCGTCCAGTGCTCCTCAGGGTCTAATGAAGTGTCTCAGGCCAAGGTGTTTATGCATATCTACTTCTTAAACTGGGGTAGTCACGTTTTGATGAGATATTTGTAAAATAAGTCGCAGTGTAGTAAAAAGCCACAAGAGAACTGAGGGTTCAGGGTGGTGACACAAATTTCTGCAACAAAAACAAAACTACTTCCGAAGCCTGCTATACATACTTTTATAGGTGTTAATAGGTCGTTTTTTGTTGGCGATACTGTTTTTTTTTTTTTCACGTTTGATTGGTTAGTTTTAGAAAATCAATACATAGAGCTCATAACCATATTGAACCAGGTTATTCTGTGTGTGTGTGTGCGTGTGTTTGTGCGTGTGTGTCTGGTGTGTGTGTGACTGTGTCTGTGCGTTGTGTGTGTGTGCACGCATGTGTGGTGTGTCTGTGGGCATGTGTGTTTGTGTCTGTGTGTGTGTGCCTGTGTGTGGGGTGTCTGTGTGTGTGTGTGCATGTAGTGTACAAGGGAATAAGAGATGTTTGTACAGAAAAGAAGTTAAGGAACTAGATGGTGAGTAACAAGGAGTCGTGCACCTGGTAACTGGTTGACATTCTGAGAATAACAGATGCTCAGCTGTAAACAGAATGCCTCTCTCACGCTGCCCCCTATGGCTCATGGATCACCGTGAAAGGGGGACAGAGCGATTGTGGGAGTCAGAGGTGCACTGAGGACAGAGCTGGGCAATTACACACATGAACCTACAGGCACTATTACTATGAGCAAGAGCTGTGTCATCTCAAGCCAGACAAAAATGTAAGCATGGCGTGGGGGTGAGCACCAAGTCCCACCACTAGCTAATGGCATTCGATAGATGCTGGGAGGGGAAGAGCCAATTTTAAGGGTGTGGCTTTTGGTAGTCAGCCCCACCCTGCCCCACCCTGCTGCCAAGAGTATTTGGGCAGCACAAACTAGACTCTGTGGTTAGTTTTAAACAGGAAGAGAAAAAATAGAGGATATGAAGTTGGGTAGATAGGGAGGTGGGGATGGATCTGGGAGGGTGTGGGGTGAATGCAATAAAAATAAACTGTGTGAAATTCTCAAAGAATTAATGAAATATTATTTTAAAAAGAAATATACCCTTTTGGCTCAAAGTAGGAGGCAGGCACATCCACCCAACTTTTGCCAATCTGTTAAGTTACACTTTATTCAAAATCAACAAGATATACTTCCAGCTTCCAAGGACACAGTATAATTCTTATCAGTCAAAATAAGTCAAACTTTTGGATACAGGATATATGTGAATTTCATGTCAATTTCCCAGGGTTCTGGGTTGATGCATTCAGCCTTTTTTCCGTGATTTTTATCTAAAACAGCAGGAGTAATAACAACATACTATCATTTCTTCTTTACAAGCTTGAGGCAAGAAACATGTCTCTCCAGACAGCTATTAGTTCTCTTTCTGTTATTAATCCCAGAGACACGAAGTGTCCCGAATTACAAAGACAACTGCTAATTTGTTGAAGATGAAGTAAAGACATTTTACTTAAAGAGATGGGCAGAGGGAACTTATATAGAAAGATGTATATTCATATAACCCAAAACAATGCAGAGTCTGTAACATGTGGGTTTGTAATAATTAGAAAATGAATAAATCACATTCCGTATAACAATAACACAAACTGGATAAAAGGATCCAAGACATGTGATGTGTCACAGAGATGTTCTGTTATGACATGTAACTATTTTATCATCAGCTCTATCGGTTTAAGGGTCAGAATTAAGACTGTGGCTTGCATACATTGGTTACCTTTGTGGATCTAATGGTTTTTCCCCCCTCTCCTTCTAACCCTAGCATTTCCCCCCCTTCCCTGGGGGTTCATGTGTGTCTCTCTTCCCGTCCTCCTTGTTTCCTGCTTCTGATGGTTTCTCTTATGTTTTAGTAAATCGGTCAGAACACTTGGAAGATATATTCAACATTGTAAATTTTGTCATTTAAGCTATAATTATAAAACTATCACCACTATATCACTATCCAGAACCTAAGCAAAATATTTACACATTTATATTATTTTTTAATAGTCACTAGTTTCTGATCAAGCATCCTGTTTCCTCTTTTTAATCCCATTCGTGAGACTCCCATTCGTCACCATTTGTACCTGTGACATATACAGCCTTCAGGAAGGTTGAGCACGTCGTCGTGTCTGTGGGGCAGGCCACAGCCATGCACATGGCGTTGGTAAGGCAGTGGCAGCCCAAAGTTGGCAAAAGCAATGTTTCCCACTAATCTCAAGCAGGTAATATACCTGTGTGCTGTGTGTGCCTCTAGAGTGAGCGAGTATGCGAGCTGTTTATTAACGCCGTACTACCTCTAGAAAGCAAGCCTTCTCTTTGCACAATCCAAGTTCTAGTTCTTGAAGATGAAAAGAATTTGATGTCTGTCCTAACAGAAAAAAAAAAGGCTTCCAATAATAAAGGATGTTATGTGCTGCCTCTCTCCCCATTCAGCTGTCAGAGATCCTTCCTATGTTAGAAATATTAATTACCCAAATACACTAAAGTTATTTGTAAAAGTCAATGTATTGATTTCATTATCCTCTATGAAGAAAATGTCACTAATCTATACATGAAGAAAACGGAGTGATATTTCATGTGACTTGCCTAGGTATTCATGACATATTCTGAACAATAGAAAACTAATTCTTTAGGCATTGTGAGACCTATGTTATAGCTCCAACTCTTTAAAAAGAACATGCTCGACACACTGTCAAGTACCTTGTGGGAGGAACAGGCAAGCTGGTGGCTTAGTTTCCTTTGGTGGCTTGACATTCCTGACTGGCATTTAGGATCTATAAATTCTAAGGTAGGAAATCAGATGCTGGTATTGTAAACCATGGCAGCAGCATCTTTCCTTATTACGTAGTAAGAAAAAAAAAAACAAGCCACAGCGTCATAAATCAAGTCTAATGAATGGAGATCTGTGGTGATATCTTGCTTGTACAAATAAAGTTTGTCTGAAGATCAGTGGATGGGGGTTGCCACTAGCTAACCATAGAGCTCTGGAGGTCTGTACAGACAGGAAATGAGATGACTCCATGTTCAGAAGAATCTCATTCAATGTGCTCGATTCTTTTCAAATATCACAGAACTTTGGAGACCATAAACATCTAACTAATTTTGAATCTGAAGCCTCAGTCGGATCTTACAATGCTAACTTTTGCACCTGCCACATTTTCGACTGGTAGTTGTCTCCTTGTAGATACTTACTTTGCAAATTTAGATTAGTAATATTACACAATGTAAATAACTTAATTTCAGATATGACAAATTTCACTCTGTATGTTCATACTGTGTTTTCACCTACAGAGATCTTCAGACCTCTTGTCTGACGACCACACCAAACTGTCTCCTGGCACTTGCAAACACACCTGAAGGCGATCTTTACATACTTTCACTGGCAATGCCATGTCTGTACACACCTTACGATCATTCTTTCAAAATACAAAAGATAAAAATCCCATGGACTTTGAACGAGTATATTTCACTCATCACCTACCTGCCTCTCGCTCCTCTCGTTCACTGCACAGATTCTCAGGCTTCTGGCAGGACACATCAGTAGTATACATCTGATGTACTACTGACATGTAATTTCAAGTTAATACGATATTCCACAGGTATAGAAAATAAATTAGCAGAAAGTCAACATTTGGCTACAAACATTAATCTCTTAGTGGGTTATAAAAATAAGGAATTCCTTTATCTGAAGTCCTTCAAATGCATCTGTAGGATTTCCCTGATCATCAGCTTAAAGGCACTAAGTCTGGAAATGGAAGCCAAAGTCTTCCTATCGAGTAAAATAGAACAGAAGGTTGTGCCACAGAAGCCTAAGTCGCAAGGTCATTTATAAAGCAGAGATATCTTGGCAAATTCAACAATGAAGATATGTGTGGGACCAGAGCACATCATGCATCCATGTTTTAACTACCATGCATCCATATACTTTTTGCATCCATGTTTTAACTACCAAAGGAAAAAATGGAAAATTACTGCTTGTAGAAGAGAAAATAAACAAAGTGGAGTTGAATGAAAGGATCGGTAGTTAAGTAAGTTTGAAAATCAAAAATTTTACCAATATTTTTAGTATGGTTTTCACACACTGCTCTCAAGAGCACTAACGATACAAAGTCTAGCTCTCCATCAGTGGGAAGAAGAAACACTCAGCTGAGCTCCGTCCCACTGCAGATGCTGGAGTTAGTGGCATGACTCTCCCGCAGTAGGCAATGTTTCATGACACCGTCCACTGGGAAAAGTAAAAACAGGCAGGCATCAGTACACGTTGACTTGGATTATGTAATGATATTCTAATGAACAAGCAAAAATAAAACTATGGGACAAAATGATTTTTTTGCAAATAGCCGTGAATAATACAATTTTACATTACTCCCAAAAATAGGAAAGAGAGCAGCCTAAAAAATACAGGCAAGACAATGTTTTGGAGTAGATAAAAGGGTCACCTTGGATGGACCCAGTCTCTTGGATACCCCTGTTCTCTGCCTGAGGCTCCCTCCCTCATGAGCAGCCAGAGTCTGTGCTAGGAATGTTAATACCCTGCACTGGTGGGGGGGGGGGACCTGACATAAGCAGCCAGGATTTCTTCAATGCTAGAACTACACATGTCATGTTGTTCCCAAGAAATGGAGCCCAGTGGGCTGCTTTCCAATGGCCTTCCTCAGCAAACTCCATTGACCTGACAAACGGTCCTGAACCAGAAGTCGTTCCCGGGCTTCTGTTGTCCCATGAAGCTTGTCCACAAGTAATAAACCCATGCCATACACCTGGTCGTATGTTCACCAGACTCAGAAGCTGGCAGACCCTAACGCTGCTTCATTAGCAAAATACTCAACACAGTGAATGGGAAAAACAGCATCGGCGAGGCTACAAAATGAAAGCAAAAGACAAAACAAAACAGAACATCATTGCTTCTCGAGCCAGGACCCAAGCAAGAATAGTTATTAAATAATTTTGCGTTAGAGCTTTCCCTTTTTGAGTGAGAAAACATTCTGTGTCAGTTTGTTAAGCAAAGTTTATGAAACTTGTGAGAGTGAGTTCTAGAAAACCCTCCAAGTAAGGACAATAAATATTTACAGTCTCCTAAATGCTACTTTCAAACTGTATCTAAGAAATATTTAGTGCTGAAGATGTTTTCTTATCATGATGTCAATACATTTGCAAAATTAAGGGTTGACAGGTGTTAACTCGATTTTCTTTACTATATGGCCTCTTTGAGGCCTAAACATCATGTAATTAATTCATTATTAACTGGAGAGAGTAACTTATTGTTAGCAGAGATAACTGCTATCTCTAAGAGGCATTCCGGGCACGTATTCAACTTGGCTTAGGGTGGTCCTAGCTTCCTGCCCCACAGTTCTGGCCATGCAGATATATATGCCTGAGAGTATATATGTGTATGGTTCTGGGACAAACCCAAATGAAATTTCATTTCAAAGAGTGATTACCTAAAAAGCAGAACATAATTAAGGGCACTATGCTTTTTCACAGTTATCCTGATGCTAAAAGAAGTGTTCCTGTGAAATGCAGCTGCTGTTTTCCTGGGCAGCAACATACTCGATCAAACTGGTGCACTGCTGCTAGACTACAGCCTCTAGTTGAAGGGCCTCCCTGCATGGCCATTGGGAGGGATATGTACCACTCAACAGCTGCATACACCGTAGTCTAAATTCACATTGGCATAATCAGGAGAATGCTGGAAAGCAAGAGGATCAAAAGTCCCTAGAGCCTAGATGAGATCCATGGAAGGTGTGGGCAGGGGGATCAAGAGTTCAAGGCCATCCTTGGCTATATAGGGAGTTTGGAGTCAGCATGGGCTACAGGAGACTGTCTCAAAAAACCAATTAGCACAAAACCAAAGATCCCAAACCCTGGAGTGAGGACAAATAGGCTACAAATCAGGAGTTTTAGAATTACCCAACACATCTGTCAAAATGACAGTTTGGTGGAGTTTTTCAATAATGTTCTACATTGCTTGGGGGTTTTTTTGTTTGTTTGTTTGTTTGTTTGTTTCGACATATTGATGATTAGCATTACATATAAAAATTTTAAGATACTGTGCTTAGAAGGAAATCTATTATTTTTGGGGGGGCAGAAAAAAATCTATTCCACTATTAAAATAAATGGACACTTCCTCTAATCTCTGATCCCTATGTTTTCTCAAGTGCATTTTCGGGGGAGTTAGCGAATGAACTGCCGTATGACACTCACCCTCAGTCCACCTGCTGGTGGCCCCGATGATTCCATCTGCTTTTCGAGCTGTTCTTTCTTCTTCCTCTTTGCCTCCACTGATTGAATATCCAAAATCCCCCGAGATGCAGCCTTTAAGAAATTCAACAAAGGGAGAGTACAGAAAGAAAGAAAAAAAAAAAAAAATAGGATCTGGTGTCCAAAGGTGCTTGTTTTGCTCTTTTAGCTTTTCCTTTAGGGGTGGGAAGTTAGCTTGGTTTGGGTAACAGGGCACCGTGCTACATAAAACAGTCATTTTTCAACCATGCAGAATTCCTCCTTAAATGCAGTTCGTTCACACTCATCAGCACGGTGGAGTTATCATGAGGAAAAATGCTGTCACAGGACGGACTCAAGTGCAAAAGTCACCCGGGGCTCTTTTCACAGTAAATGACATAACCGAGTGCAGCTACGGAGACTTGAACGTCATTTTGAGAGTGGTTATCTACGCTTTAGAGCAGAGGACCAGGATGGACCTTGGAGGGTGACAGAGCGCACCTATGGAGCAGGGGAACTAAGGACCAGGACCGTGGAGGGTGACAGAGTGCGCCTATGGAGCAGGCGAACTAAGGACCAGGATGGACCGTGGAGAATGCCAGAGTGCACCTTTGGAGCAGGCCAACTAAGGACCAGGACCGTGGAGGGTGACAGAGCGCACCTACGGATCAGGGGAACTAAGGACCAGGACCGTGGAGGGTGACAGAGCGCGCCTATGGAGCAGGCGAACTATTGTGCTCACCTCTTTCTGCCTTCTTTCTGCTGCCTCTGCCAGCTTTGCTCTTTTCTCTTCCTAAGAAAATGCAGAATATGTTTCAAGAGAAAGTTCCAACATCATCGCCCCCGCCCCACACACACCTTTACTTCAGAGGCCACAAACATAAGTAATAAAGTGAAAAACCCTCATAAGGAAAGTCACTGTAAGAGTTCACTAAGGTGTCCTGGTTACAGGAGGGACCATAGGTAGGATTGCTGGAGCCCAGTTCAAGACTAGCCTGAGTAACATGGCAAGAACTTAACTTCACCTGAACAAAATAAAGCAAATAATCCTCAGTCTACCAATCGTACAACATGTATTAAATATTTAACTTCCTGAATTTCATTCCCTAGACCAATGCACCAGTTAGCACATGTGGAGATTAATATAAGTTGCAAAATATTCAGTGGGGACGAAAACTTTCTTTTAAACTGGTGTTTAAACCATGAGGGTAATTTGGAAGTTAGTTAAAAATGGGAATGAAGCAGCCTGGAGTTTGGGGAAACATGTAGAACCAAGGGGCTGATCTCACTGCGTTAGATGGGGGAGATAAAGAAAAGAAACTCAGGGGCCACTTGTCCCACCCCTGTAAACACCACATTATTTTTCTATGCCATCTACTTCTGAGTTATAAAGTCTTTAAATAATTTGAGACAAGGAGTAGCATTCTCGTGGGGTGTGATTTCCGCCATTCCTTCTCCATACCACGTACACACATTCATTCATCCATCACAGTGATTGTTGCCGATTTTTCTAGGCACTAAGAACACAACCATGAAATACAGACACCCATGCACACAATGTTTGAGTTCAGTAAGCAGACACCCATTGTGTGTTTGAAGGAAGTAACAACTCCGGAAGAGATATAATGATCATGGTGGGTAAGGAATAGGAGGGAGGTTGCTGATCCTACAGCTTGTTTATTTATGAGATCAGGGAAGTCTTAGGTGCTAAGTGAAATACACCACTGGGCCCTGTGGATAAGGGGAGAGGGTGGCGGTGGGGACAGACGGATTAACAAATGCTGACAGGATGACACTTTTCTCATGAGCTAAACACAATTTTAACAGCATCTAAAATCAGCAGCAGCCTCAAAGGCAAGTTGAACTTTCCAACATCGATTAAACTATATATAACCTAGAGGCTAATGGATTAATACATACTTCCTTAAATCCCCAACTTCCTCATCTAATCTTTAGCTACAAGAATCGATGCAGAGAGAACGATTAGATCGTTGTGTTATCAAATACTGGTAAACGTAAAACATACTGTTAGAGCAAAAGGCTCAAAGTTCAAAGAAATAATGACTTGATTCCACGTACAATATATCCCAGATACAACATTACTGGAAACATCTACACCTAAAAGGTATTACTTGTTTATGAGCAACTCAAAGCTGGGCAGGCCCCCCAGCTGTTACAAACTGAGCAAAGGGAAGCAGGCGGTTAATCAAATCTCCCCTAAACGGCACGGGGAGCGGGGCGTCCAGGACCTTCCTTGTACAGCTGGTACAGACAGGAGAAGATGCACATGTCCGGAGCAGCTCCTGGGGACAGGACAGCCCCACCTGTCGGGTCCAAGACTGGTCCAGAGAACCAGTAGTGTCCAACTGCCGGGCAGGTGCATCTGTCCCCGGGCGGCTCCACCAAAGGCTGCCGCGAGCTGGAGCAGGGCGAGGCTGGCTACTCACCGGGCTCGGGGATGGCGGGGCGGACTCCGCGGGACACGGGAAGCACAGCCCCATGGGGAGGGACACTGGCACTCCCGGGCCTGGGTCAGGGTCTTCACGGGGGCGGGGAGGGGGCAGCGGCAGGCCCCGCCCAGCGACAAGCCCCGCCCTCACCTGACCCGAAGCACAGCCCCACCCTGCGGCAAGACCCGCCCCACAGCAAGCCTCTCCCCCCCCCCCACCCCGCGACCAGAGGGGCAAGATCCACCCCGAGGCGAGCACCCCAAAAGCGCCGCCCAACTGCAAGCCACACCCCTGTACCGCCTATGGCGAGCCCCGCCCAGCTAGGGTTGCTGCAAGCCCCGCCTCCAGTGCGAACCTGCCACACCTGACCCGGCGGCAATCGCCGTCCATCCGGTCCAGCACTAAGCCCCGCCTCCGCCGCGGATCCCACCCAATAGAGCCTGGCGACGACTCAGCCCTCGGGACTTATCCCCGGGCTCCAAAGCCCAATTATGGCATAGCCCCACCCACCTGCGGCAAGCCCCGCCCCCGGCCTGTAAGCCACCGTTAGGCCCCGCCCACTCCGGGAGTGCTCGGCCTGACACTCGGCTCCGCCCCACCCACCTAGCTGTCAGTCAATCACCCCACGCCCTGGAGGCGGGGCTGATCCCTCTCCCTCTGCGGCTGAGCGGCGCCCAGGAGCGCTGCACATGCGTAGTTAGGTGTGGGCAGGTGCCGGTGCGAAAGGCGGTTGGGTTGTCCTCTGAGGCCCTGACACCCGCGGTTCAGTGTGCTGTCAGCTGCCCTGGCTGCCTCTCCGCAGGGACAGCAGCAGCAGGAGAAAACTGGCACTTACTCCTGTCTCAGAGGCAGCACATCACGACCCGTTTCCCTCATGGGACAACGATAACGTCCACCCAGAAATACTTCAGTGAAGTGCAGCTCAGCTTTTATAACCGTAAGACCCCCGGCATCTGGTTAAAATTAGACTTAGAAATGCTAGGGCCCAGCCTAGAGCATGCGTCCCCACACCAAGGCTTTGCGGTTATTCTGACAGCCTGAATTTCCCAAATCAGCTTTTGCCCCCAAACACAGCACAAGCCTTCTTTCTTTTCGATGGGACAGTCGGCAGGTATCCATAGGTTCTGACTTCCAGGCTGTGTAAGCTGTGGCATTTCCTTGTCTGGTTTTCATTCTTTTTCTTCTCTTCCTCCCTCCCATTCTCTCTGTTTCTGTCCCTTTCTGTTTCTCTGCTGTCTTCGTGGATTATCCTCAAACACATTACAGGTAAGTGAACAAACGCCTCCATTTACTTTGGTAAACACACAGAAACCATTATCTGAAGTAGCTCCGCATCAAAATAGTACAAATGCATTTCATATTTCTATATTTCTGTTTCTATAGATGTGTGAGAAATTATCCCCACGTTTTCAACTTGGGGATTGTAGTCTTTCCATTTTGAAGAATGTTCACATTTAGTTAAGTTTCAGGTTTGATAAATTTCATGGAACCACAAAGTACAATCAACAGGAATTCACCTCAGGTGTAAGGTTACTAATCTCCCTGGCCTTGATGATGGCTTCAGCTTCACCAATCTGCTGTTTCTTCCTAACTACTCATGTCTGACTTCCCTGTTCTTAGAGAATTTACATTAGGAGTCTGTAAATGTTAAATTGTCCTCTGCTGCTTTAAGATGTTCTTTCCCTATGTTCTCAGTACTTCTATAGCACAGAACTTTATCAAGGACCAGAGTGTCCTGTCTGAAATACAACACTCAGAAATGGTTAGCACCTGTAGTTCCCCATCTCTATATAGAGTTTCTGAGTTCTCTAACTGCTGCCAAGTCAGCAGATGAAAATACAGGTGTTCCCAGGGCATGGTACATCCTGGATCCTGAAATCCTTCAGCTCCTTTTCCCTGTGAAGGATACTCTTGGTTGCCAACCTCACACCCAATTAAGAAACTGCCTCTTTCATGTTGGCCCCTGGGAAAGTCTGTGGGACATTTTCTTGATTCACAATTGATATAGGAGGGCCTGCCCACTGTGGGTGGTACTGTTATTCCTAGACCTGGGTTGTGAGAAAAAAAAAAAAAAAGTAGCTGAGCTTTAAGCAGGGAGCAGTGAGCCTCCTTAGTTTCTGTTTCAAGCTCCTGCCTTGAGCTGTTGCAATGGCTTCCCTGGGGGCTGAAATACAAGCTGTTATATGAAGCAAGCCCTTTCTTCCCCATATTGGTTCTACTTGTGTTTTATCACAGCAATAGAAAGCAATTTCAAGGTGTGCAATTGTTCCAAGCTTTTATTCAGTGCACTTAAGTTCTATCTCCTTCCTAATTGTTTATTCTATTACAATTTTTCTTTATATCACTTTTAAATTGATTTATTGTAACTGAAAAAAGTTATTGCATAAATGGAGAAAAACTGATTTGCAATGCAAAGTAATTCTGTTTCTAACCCTTTTCTTCCTGAGATGAATTGTCCACAGGCGTGTTCTATGTCAATTTTGTGATAGCGAACTTGGAGAATCTTTCTGTGAAGAGGACATGCTTGTTATCTGGGAAAATAATGGTGCATGAGGGTGGAAGCTGGGCAAGCCATCTAGTAGCCTGTTAGGTAACACGGGGCCTTGCCTAGCTGTGACACAAGCCCGTTGTGTGCCCAGTGTCCTCATTGACACATGTGCAACCTTCTCTGTGTTGGTTAGACTTTTTCCAACTTGACACAAGCTAAAGACATCTGGGAAGGCAGAACTGCAATTGAGAAGATGCATCCATCTGATTGTCCTTATACAAATCTAATAGGCATTTTATTGGCAGGTGATTAATGTGAGATGGCCTAGCCCACTGTGGGTTGATATAGTATTTATGATTTATTAAAGCTTGCCTGAGGACTCAGAAAGCAAAGCCAGCCACAAGCTATAGAAGCCTGGCGGGGGTGGTACACTCCTTAAATCCCACGCCACCCCTTGGGAAGTAGAAGTAGACGGCCACACTGAGCTACAAGAAATATAGCCAGTCCTACTGAGAAACAGCCCACACAAAGATGATCTCAGCACTTGGGATCACACACCTTTAATCCCAAAAACTCACGAGAGGTATTTAAGACAGGAACGGAGTCTCAGAGCATTCATTCTCCAGCCACCTTGAGGATATGAAGACATTGAAGTCTCAGGATTCTCCCCAGCCACGATGAGGAGAGCATAGCAGGCTAAATGAATCTGAGGTCTGGAGCAGCTTGTGGATCAGCCCTTTGAGCCTGAGAGTTAAGAGCCAGTGGCTGGCTGCTTTGCTTTTCTGATCTTCAGCTTGAACCTTGAGCCCTGCGTCTGTGTCTTTTACTTTTTGTGCTACAGAGGGCAGCACCATCCCTAGGCTCATGTCCCTGGGGTGTTGACAACAGTGGGTGGAGCCAGCCAAGAGGGGTGGGTCAGAGAGCAGCACTCCTCCATGGCCTCCGTTCAGTTTCCACCTGCAGGTTACTGCCTTGTGCTTCTGCTCTGACTTCCTCAGTCACTGAGTAGCGCCTGAGGATGGAAGCTGAGATAGACTCTTTCCTTCACAAGGTTGCTTTGGGTCATACGTATGTAACAGCAGACTAACCCGCTAACTTTGAGACTACATAAATGTTGTAAACTTGCATTTGAAGTTCTCTGCTCTTTTAGGCTTAAGAAAGTCTGCTTAGAGGCATGTATTATTAATCTTCTCTATAGGAGAAAATGCAGGCATGACCTGTCAGCCAGCATACCTGGCATACTGTGCTTCTAAATAAGCATGTCACACCACACTCCTGCGTCCCTACAAATAAATCCTTGGTTTTCTGTAGAGGGGCTCTTTGATCTAGAGCTACAGCAGAGAACTTTAAATAAAGCACAGAGAAAAGATGTATAGGTTAAAAGGTCAGTGCTTACTTCTGGCGTTGAAAACCTACCAGTCCCACCAATCCCTGAACCCTAAATCCCACCAATCCCTGGGCACAAATTTCCATCAATCTCTGATCTCAAAATGTCATCAATCCCGGAGCTTGGCTTGAAATCTCATCAATCCCCAACCCTGGAAATCTCTACCCTGGAAGACTCCTCCCTCAAGAAATGCTGTAGAAGCCCGTGCTCTGCTCAGTTCCCAGCTGCTTTCCTTCTGAGCAGAGGCGGGCACCCACCGGGTTTTCCCCTCTCAATAACCCTCTTGTGTAAGATTTGTTGTGCTGTGTGACTGTGTGGTATCCCTTTGCTCCAGCTTGCCAGGACACTTTTTCTCCTCAGAGCTCTACCACTTTCACAGGGGTAACCTCCTCCCTGCTCAGAGTTGTAGCACTGCCCCTGGGGAAGCATTTCCCTGCAGAGCTACAACACTTGTTGTCCGTCCCATTCCCTCTGGGTCTGGCTGGTGAACCCTGCTTCTCTTCCTCCTAGAGGCCCTACCTCTTCCCAGAAGTCCTGCCTATCCTTACATGCCAGCTATTGTCCATTCAGCTCTTTATTAATCCAATCAGAAGGTGACTTGTCAGAGACACAACTTCACGGTGTACAAAAAGGTGATCCCACAACAGGAGAATGTCCAAGCAATGACTGCAAGGATACCTTTCAGTTATACAAATGAGTTTTTTTTATGAACTTTAAATATTTGCATACTAAGTAGTGCATTTCACTGTAGCCATCATACACACACACACACACACACACACACACACACACACATATATATATCATTATACTTTGTTCCCCTACCCTGTTGCTCTCCCCTCTGTCACGAGCTCTGCTGTCTGCTGTCTTCCTTTGTCAGCTGTATTCAATTGCTGTCTCCTGCCCCTGTGAGCTCTTCTTTCTTGAGAACATCAAATACCGTAAAAATTATAAGAGCCTTTCTGTAACTGGACTGCCTTTCCCCGCTCAGTGTGCTCCTGAAGAGCATTAACACACACACACACACACACACACACACACACACACACACACTCACACACAGTCTAAAGAAGTGCCTTCTCCATATCTTCTAGTAGTAAATATATTTTGGCTACAATTTTCCTGTAGAGGGAAAATCACTGCATCTTGCCTTGGATCTGGAGGATACTTTTGCTTCATGCTGAACTAGGTGGGCAGTTTCCCCTTCACAATCTTAGCCTCCTGGAGACCCCTTCTTGTGCCTTTTGGGTCCCTGTGGTTTCCCAGAGGCTTTATGGTCATGCTAATGTTTCATTTCTTAGCGTTTTGTAAGGCCCCTCCTCCTTTTGCTTTCTTTCCTCTTTGTAGTGTTTTTGTAACATTTGAATTTGAAGTCATCTGAGCACGTTTGTGTTTAAACTACACACACACAAGCACGCACGCACACACGTGAGTTTTTGAAGGGAGATGTCATCCTGTAAATATGTTTCTCATACTGGTTAATGAATAAAGCACTGTTGGCCAATAGGAAAGCAAGATAGGCGGGACTAGGAGACAAGGAGGAGAGAGGAAGGAGTAAGGAGGAGTCAGCATGGAGAGACTGGGGAGAGCCGGCCCCACACCCCGGTAAAATGAGAGCACGTGGAAATACTTAGATTAACAGAAATGGGTTAATGCTTAAGACAGAGCTAGCCGATAAGAAACTAGTACTTGGCCAACAGCATTATATCAAATACAGAGTCTCTGTGTGTTAATTGGGGCTGGCGCCGCGGCGGGGCAAGACCAGCGGCGGGAGGAAAAACCTTACCTCTTACAAGTTTTCATCAAAATTAGGAAAGTTTGTAAATAGGCCCATAGCTGTTCATCTCTGTCCACTTGATCTGTTCTCAAGGCTGTAGCCATTTTCTCAGTCTTTATCTTTGCTTTAGTTTGGATAATTTCTGAAGCTTTATTTGCTGTATCTCAATTTTATCTACCTATGGTATTGCCTCTGTGATAATATTTTAGTGAAAACTTTAACTATCAGTTAATTTTTTGCTCTAACAGTTCTGCTTAATTCTTTTAGAAATATTTTAGTCTCCTTATTTTCTTATTTATCACTGTATTCTTAACCATGGTAATAAAATACTTAAATTTATTTTGTCTTCTCATACCTTGAAAAAACATGTTATGTTTTCTATTGTTCAATTTCTGGAAAGTAACTTGTAATTATTTCATCCTATCTTCTGGCTGTTTATCATAGTTTCTCATATTTCTCTATATTTGTAAAGACAGAATCCCTTAAATCTCACTTTACACATTGCTTTTGAAACTGCAAATAGCTGATCAGTTGCTCTCATTGATTGAAGAGTTGTTGATATTTTAGAAAACAATCATTATTCCATTTTCAAGTTAGAAACTATATAACAAAGCATTATTTTACTATACAAGTTACAGGTGCTATTTATTTCATATATCAACATAGAAAAACTTCTATGAACTTTGATTTTAAGTGACAGGTTTGTTTATATTACACTTTATTTGACGTATCAACCCATATCGTAAGTCTAGAGGAGATGTTATCCTATTATTCTACAATTGAATCACAGCTTCCAATATCTAAGTAAGCCATACACCTAATTGCAACAATTTAAATACAAATATATTTTCAAAGTCTTTACATATTATTTAAAATACAAGTTTACCACAAAAATCAGTGATGAGCTATAAACTTAGTAAAATTTAGAAGCCCACAGCCTGGATGTTGAGTGCAAGCTCTGTGTTTATTTTGCAGAATGGTGGAACATTATTTTATTCTTTGGATGCAGTCAAGCCATGACCTGTTGTTCAATGTCAAAAGTTCATGTCTTCATCTTGAGAATGGTTTCTTCTAGAAGACTCCAGGCTTACTCACTTGTCCACTAGGCGGGAGTAGAACACACAATTTAAAAAGCGAAGGCAATTGAGATTTATGCAAGGAAATTTTGTATAAGCTATCAATGATCTCACTCTCAAGAGTGAGGCCTCTTTATACAAGCAGTTTTGTAGTCCTTAATAGCAACAAGAGCATCCAGAAAATTACAAGTTTTCATTGATTAAAAAAAAAAAATCTAGCTTGGACCAGTGAGATGTCTCAGCAGATAAAGGCACTTGCTGCCAAGCCTGACATCTTGAGTCTGATCCCTGTAACAAATATAAAGGAAGGAGAGTATGTCTTCTATCTTCTACATATATACCTTGGTGCATACATGCTCATTCAAGTGAATATACTCCACAATAAGGAAGACAGTGTAATTTTCACACTTAAAACTGGACTGTCAAGGTGTAAAGCATGTGGTGAAACCTTGAATGCATATTATGAAGGGCAAATTGGAGAAATGGTGGACGATAAGGGATCTGAGTTTCCAGGGAAGAATGGACCAGCTAGATGGGATGCAGAAAATATTATAGTGTATGTGAAGTGCCTGAAACTGATAAAATAGTAAAAATTTATGTATGGGATATAACCATTGCTTGAAGTCAGCAGAAAGAAAAATAGATTAAAAAAAACAAAACAAACAACAACAAAAACTGGATTTTCCACCTGACAAGAGTAATTCTGGCATTGCAGGAGAGTGACAGCTGTCCTCAGTTACCCAAGGGACTGTCAAGTGGAAAGTCCATCAAACCTCTGCTGAGCCACAAAATGTGAAGTTTAATGCCATTGTAAGAGATTCATGTATGACAGTCTTTATTCTAGGCATTTAAATCCCTAGGGCTGGAGAAAGCTCAGAGTTAACAGCTCTAGCTCTTGGACTCCCAGTACTCCTGTTAGGTGGCTCACAACCACCTGTAACTCCAGGGGATATGACAGCCTCTCCTGACCTCTGTGGTGACCTGAACACACATGGTATCTACTCACAACAGACATACACGCATAAAAGTATATATATATATATGTATATTATATATATGTGTGTGTGTGTATATATATATACACATATATATATATAAAGTAAGTTGCAATCAGTGTAGAGAATTGTCTAACATTTAAGTGTTAATTATAGGCTAAATAAACTATTTAAACTATTGTTTAGGAGATTTTCCTAAAATTTAAACAAATAAGCTCAGCCAAAAGAATAAACAGAGCATATGGATTCAGAGAGCAAAGTCCCTGTTCTCATCGGGAAACAGTTGCTGAGTAGACTGAATCAATGAGAATTTGGTGAAAGGAACTTTAAGGGTCTTTCTGGAGTGTCATTAGAAACTCTTTGAGAGAAAATTAAAGAGTGGTCAGATGCATTGAAAAGGCAGATGTCAGTAGCATGTGAGAACTGTCCATTTCTGTGAGAGCTCCACACTTACCAGGAGTCCTGGATCTGGAATGGGGGCAGGCTTTGCAAACTTTTTTTCCAATTTCCTCTTTTCTTTCCTTAGGTTCTGCATGTAGTGGATACGTTTATCCATAGACTTAAGGAAAATTAAAAAACAAAGCAAAAAAAAAAAAAAAAAAGAACAAATAGAACCTTCCAGAACATATAAAGCTAATATGTGCTTCATTTTGGAGTTGTGTCAATTAAAATGATCAGAGCAAACAAAAGTCTGCCTAGCTAATAAAGGTAGGGAAGAATCACAAAACAAAACCCTAAACTATTTCTTTCCCAATTGTTGAGAGGTGGACACACACGCTGTAGCATCAGGAGGACTGCCAGAGGGCCTTGTTTACTCTTGATTCCCATTAATTAATCAATTAAACCATGCACGTTTCTATAAACCCAGATTCATGGTCATGTAATTTCCAATTTTAAATACAATTTCATTCAAAATGTTCAAATGGATCATCTTATTACATGGCTCATTGTTTCATTTCATGCACCCTATGTCCACGGAAGAGTGGATCTACTTTCTAATCTGGCTCCCAAACCCAGCCTTTTATGTCACCATTGTGTGTCATCTGTGAGTACCATAGGCCCAAAGAATGAAAAGTGAATGCTTTGGAGAGATGGCATGCAGTATAGCAACAACTGCTGCTAAGAGACAGCGCGATGCTCTGGACACAATGAGACAGGGTTTCAAACCAAGGGAAAGTGTGTTTTCCCTCAGGATCCAAACTGTGTAAGTAACCAAAAGATCCTCCTGCGTGTGGGGAGGAGACCTGCGCTCAAAAGTTCCCAGTAGCACTGTTCGTTGTAGAAGGATGCTGAACCAACCCAGTGTGACAAGCTAGCGAGGAAAGGGAACCATGAAGTGTGGTTTGCTCTATAATGAGATATTAAGCAGCAACAAAAATGAGGAACCACAATTGTACACAGCATTTACCAATGTTGAGCCTTGTGATCCTCATATTTATAAAGTCCAAAGCCAAGCAAACGTCATCCATGCACTTAAAGCGACACACGTGGCAATAGATTAAAAGAAAGTTGCTAGAAAAACATTTGAAATCATGCTTATGCATTTGAGACATTCAGGGGGCAAAAGCAGCGAGGTAGCCTGCGGGTGGATTTGGCTACTCACAGTGCTTCAAAGTCTTGAGTGTAAGATCTGTTTAATTACTCTAATTTACAACTTGTATGTTGCACACTTTATATATTACACACACGCGCGCACGCACGCACGCAATCTAATCAAGACCTATTATACTCGTCTCAGGTCTCCGACTGTCTGAGCAATGCATTGAAGATGTGTCTAATTAACGACAAACATGTAAGCAGGCATAAGTTAAAAACAGTTTAAACAAAATTTACCTGCCTGGAAGAAACATCTGAAGGGTGGTGCCTTCGCGGTCCTTCCTACACAATACATAAAAATACACGCAAAATCATGATAAAGAAGAAAAGGGACCCCATCTCTTTAAATTCTGTGTTATCTCTGAGAGCTGAGTTCATTCCAGGAATGACAAGGTGTACAAAGCCCAGAAAGTATCACAAGTCCATTGGCCTACGAACCGTGCGCTGCCACCTCATGCCCATGAAAGTGGGTCTACTTGTCAGTCTGGCTCCCAAATGCAGGAAACTGGACCAGTTGAAGTCATGGGGACACAGAGAACAGGGGTGTCCCTCATGAGCCTCTCACCTCTTCCCACCCACAAAGTGTCTTTCCAATACTTCTCTTCCCAGCTCTAATCCAACTACAACCTCAAACCTTGAAGGTGCATCTCCACCTTCCATCCAAGTATTGGGATCTGGACTGCGCCCCATGCTCTTCGTTTCCCTAACCCTCCACCACTCACCCTCTAGTTTGAGCCAGTGCATCAGTCAACAGAGTTGATAGACCCAAGCAAGCACGTCAGAGATCTTCCTAGCATCCTAGGACCTTCTCTCTCTCTCTCTCTCTCTCTCTCTCTCTCTCTCTCTCTCTCTCTCTCTCTCTCTCTCTCTCTAACTCCAAGTCTGTCCTCAATTTGGAACCTCGGATGGCTGCAGCTGACTGCTTAGGGTACAAGCCTAGGACAAAGTTGGCCAGAGCAGAGTTAAAGCCCGCCGGGAACTCACTGGGTAGACTTGGGCAGGCTCCTCATCCCTAATACGCTGCAGGCACATGCTGCAGAGCTGTAGAGTGCCCTAGGCACCTACTGCCTAAAGATGGGGCCAGTCGTGTCCCTCAAGCCCTGACCCACCCTACCATCACAATTCTCTTTATTTTCTCAGATTGAGCCCCGCCCTTTCCCTAAGCCCAGCACCCAGAAGGCTGAGGAACAACTTCCAGCCATCTACAAAACCTCAGGCTGCTGTAATTCCCTGTAAACTATGCTGTGGGCTCCAAAGCCACAAAAATCACCTGCTCGTTTTCTAGGCAAGCCCCTGGCTAATGTGTCCAACTCAGAATCCTTGTCTGTCTCGTTAATCTCTCTCTGTTCTGATTCTAAATTCTATCTACCCATTCTTTCCCGTCATGATTTCCAGCTTGACCGGCCTAGTTCTCAACCTCCTGACCCCTTGTGACCTTGAATAGAAAGGGGTCAAGGGTGAGGGGTGACTATGACTGCAGTAAAGTTAAGGTGAGTTCTCAGTACAGCTCCCCAGCCCCCCCCCACTCACTTTTGGTGTGCTAGGCATTTTCTGTCCTGCCTCAGCTGGGTTCAGGCCCTGAGAGAGTAGGTACAAAGAAAAGTCTCCCCACCAGATGAGTTTCACACAAGTGACAGCCCCGAATAGCTCAAGCTTTACTTATTTATACTTCAAAAACAAACACGTGTTTCCCAACCTTTAAATCAAAACAACTTTTAAACCAGAAACAACACTCAGTATTTTGCTAGTTTGGCTAAGTATCAAGCCAGGCACATCCTGTCCTTACAACGCTAAAAGGGGATAGACATAGGCATATATTCTCAAGAACAAAACTACCATTTAGAACTTTACAAAGCATATTTACAGGAATAGGGGGGATTTGACCTAAGCTGGTTGTATATAGTTAGCTTGTGTGCCTCTGTCCCTTGTCCTATAAAAGGATCCTGCAAGCCTAAGCCTCTTTATAGAGCAAACTTTGATAAGGCACCTCTACTTTTTCTATCATGTCACAGCATTCTTCATGTTTTCCCCCAGAGTTGATATGCCTGGTTCTGTTTCCTCGGACATGCCCATCAGCTTTTATTGCCTCCTAGTCTGTCAGCAGTGAATCAGAGTGGTTCCCAGGGTCTGGAGTAACAGCTGTCATTTCCAGATAAGAAGTCTGAGAAGCATCAGCTCCCAAAGAATTTTAAGGGAAAATATTTGAGGGGAAAAAAAAAAATGAAGTTTCTAGGAATGGTCACATCTGTCCCATGCATGACTGACAAAGTAAAGCTAAAACCACCGAGAGAGTAATTATGAGAAAGAAGAGAGCCTGCAAGCTTGGTTCTGCCTCGACTTTGCATGCCAGACTTTGTTGACTCCCCAAGGAAGGCCTTGCCCCCTATGAGGGGTGGATGGGAGGCGCCAGAGGTGGTGGGGAGTAGGAGAAGGGGAGGGAGGGGGAACTGGGGTTGGGATGTAAAATGAAAAATAATTTTTAAATAAAAAAATAAGAGGGCACCAAAAAAAAAAGAAAGAAAGAAAGATAAAGAAAGGAATGAATGAATGTAAAAAGATCAGAAGCAAATGTAGGTAAAGAGAAGCAGGATAGTTAAGTTTGAAAAGCTGGCTAAAAACTAGCCAAACTAAGGCCAGGCATTCCTAAGTAAGACTAAGTCTCCATGTATTTATTTGGGACATGGAGGATGGGTCTGCAAAGAATGAAAAAACAATAGAAAACAAAACCAACTACACACACTACAGAGCAATCCTATCAAGGTCATTTTTCAGTGGAGGTTCCCCTTTCCAGGTTACTTTAGGCTGTGGTAAGTTGACACGAGAGACCAAAACACAGCACATTGTCTCTTCTCTTGTTACAGACTCTGAAACTCCATGCCAGTGCCGTTTCTAGCAGAGTAGGACAATACATAGACAATGGGGACAGTTCACGCTCTGCAGGGTTGAATTATTCATACGTATTAACAACTAGTTCCTTAGACATGTCAAGGGAGTAGATGCCTGGTTAGTGTCGTCTGGGAAGAGATGTGGTGGTGGGCGAGCTTAACACTGTATCCCGGGTTCAGAGTGAACAAGCAGCTCTACTGCTCGGGGCCCAGGTTGGAATGACCTAACTTTCTTGCCATCTCTGAACGTGGAACCTCAACTATGTCCAAATTATTCTTGTCCACGTGGTCCCACTGAAGAATAAAAACCTGCTGATCCTGTCTCAGGTGCATCTCTCCATTTCTGTCTCCATGCCATTTCTGCCCAGGACCTTTCTCAGAGATTACATTGGACAGAAGGCTCATTCTCTTCATCATCCTTTCTTTAAACACATACACGCCCCATGCTCAGATCTCATCTTCACAGTAACAATGGCTAGAAGACCCCCTCCCTCCTTCTACCCTTCTTCCTACCTCCCTTTTCCTTCTTCCCTGCCCTCCCCTCCCCTCCTCCCCTCCCGTTCTCTCTTTCTCCCTTTCTTTGATGGTGGACTGGAACTCATGAGGTCACTGTGGAAGACCTTGCACTCTGACCCCTTGCCTCTCCCTCCCAGTTGCATTTCAGCCGTGAACCACATCTGGTCTTATGTGGTACAGAGATTCATGAACACTTGGCAAGGACTCTTCCAAATGAGCTGCTATGGCATCAGTCTGCGCCTCTGGTTTCCTTTCCCTTGTATTCAGTTTAAGTCTTGACTCATACCAGCTGCATCAGCTCTTGGTGGAGACTGGTTATTACCTCAAAACGGTCAGTGACTCTCTTTCCGCTACAGTCATTGGACTCTGTACTGCATGGCCTTTGTAATATTTTAATTTTGTCCAAGTATTGTGGTTGAAAACATAATTAGATCTTTTTTCTTTCTGTGTTATCTCCTATTTGTGCGTAGGATGACGACAGATTTATTGCTCTTTTTATCAGTCCATTCAGTAGTTGTGTAAGCCTGCTGAGGGCCTTTTAATTTTAGGCTGTGTTGTATTGAAGTGTTCCTGATTGAGGGTTATGAAATGGGCCCCATGTAAAGTAATGCCAGCAGAGGAATGTCTTTGTGAGGGTAGGTCCTGTGTGTCACACAGGGACTCATTGAGGTAAAGGGTTAGTGCTTTGCTATGGTAGTATTGTATTAAAATCTCCCACTCCATGCTGGGGAGCATACTTGGGACGTGGCATATGCCAGGCAAGCTCACTACTGACTGGGCTGTAATTTAAACACAGATTGACTTTTTTTGGACAATTGCCTCTGAATTCTGATTTCACACTGGACTTACATGTGAAGCTGTGAGCCTTCGATTCACTCCACAAACCTTGTAAGAAATTGCCTATGTATTTAGGTATTTCATGTTTCCATTTCTGTCAACTATCGGCTTGTAATATTGCTAACTATACTACATATCTTTTATCTACAATAAAATTTTCCATGTGAGGATTGCCTGACATGATTTTCTGTTCTCTAAACCTAGAGTTAATTATGGAATCTAGGTTTCAGAAGTTTTAACTGGTATTTATTAAATAACATCTGTTTTGATTCAGCTCATCATTCTTTCCTGTCAGGAGTGTGATTGTGTGTGTGTGTATTTGTGTGTGTGTGTGTCTGTGTGTGTATCTGTGTGTCTATGTGTGTGTGTCTATGTGTGTGTCTGTGTGTGTGTGTCTGTGAATCTGTGTGTGTGTCTATGTGTCTGTGTGTGTATCTGTGTGTATGTCTGTGTGTGTATCTGTGTGTGTATCTGTGTGTCTATGTGTGTGTGTCTGTGTGTGTGTGTGTCTGTGTGTGTGTCTGTGTGTGTATCTGTGTGTCTATGTGTGTGTGTCTATGTGTGTGTGTCTGTGTGTGTGTGTCTGTGTGTCTGTGTGTGTGTATCTGTGTGTGTGTCTGTGTGTGTGTCTGTGTATCTGTGTGTGTGTGTCTGTGTGTGTATCTGTGTGTGTATCTGTCTGTGTGTGTGTATCTGTCTGTGTATCTGTCTGTGTGTGTGTGTGTGGTTTGTTTTCTGTGTGTACTATTTAGTGTGGGTGTGTACATATATGAACATGCTCATGCGTGCACACAAGTGTGGAAGACAGAGGTGACCCCCAGCATATTTCTCCTGCCACTCTGTACCTAAGTTTTTGATAAAAACTCTCTGAACATGCGGCTTACGGATTCAGCTAGACTTGCCAGTCCTGTTCTGCCACTCCACCGCTCCAAACCCCAGTTACATCCGGCTTCTTAGAAGGGCTCTCGGGATCGGAATTCTGGTTTCCACTCTGGCATGGCAAGACCCTTTGCCCTCTGTGCCCTCTTCTTACCCTGGAAAAGGGTTCAATTCTCCCCCCTCCAGATGGCATGCTGACTGGGCAGCATGCCACGTCATTCTTGATATCTGTGGTGGAAGCCTGCAGGGATCGGAGATGGGTGAGGCCCTTGTCTGAAGCACAGCACAGAGAGCTTCCTTTACTCTGATCAAGATCAGTTTGCCTTTGACTGACGGTGTATTTTGTTACATATTGAACCAATTTGTAATCTGTCAGTGGTCGTTATGTTCTCCAGATCTCATCCTTATCATAACAGGCTATTTTGAGATATCCTGTTGAAACCTAGCCTTTTTTAAAAATTAATTTTCATTTCAATTAAAAACAATCTTATTTTACATACCAATCCCAGTTCCTTCTCCCTCCCATTCCCCACACCAAACCCCCATCCCAACCCCCATCCACTCCTCGAGGAGGATGAGGCCTCCCATGGGAGATCATCAAAGTCTGTCACATCATTTGGGGCAGGACCTAGGCCCTCTCCCGTGTATCTAGGCTGAGAGTATCACTCCATAGGGAATGGGCTCCCAAAGCCCATTCGTGCACTAGGGATAAATACTGGTTCCACTGCCAGAGGCCCCATAGACTTCCAAGGCCCCACAATTGCCCCCGCATGCAGGGGGCCTGGTTTGGTCTTATGCTGGTTTCCCAGCAGTCAGACTGGGACCTGTGAGCTCCCGCTTGCTCAGGTCGCCTGACGAAGCCCATCCTTGCTTTATGCTGCACTCCATGTTAAAAAAAAATGTTCCCTAATGTCATTGTAATATTGAAGATGATTTAGATGAATTCTAGAGTTCACATTGCTCACACCAAGGAGATG